TGGACAGGATGCAGTATTCCCGTCAAGACCACCCCTCATACTCACAGAGGACAGGTGAGGGAAGTTAGAGCAGGTCGATGAAACTTCGGTGGGAATAGTCACAGCTGGGGGCTCATCATCAGGCCCTTCTTGCTCACGTACACATCCACTGATTCACCTCTGGGGCCCCATCTTTGCCAAGAGGCCCTCAAGGGGTCCAAGAGCAACAGAGGTAAAGACCATGGATGGAGATGGAGGAGAAAGACATGTAGTTGGGACTGTGGGGGAGGGCTATGGGGAGCAGAGAATATGTTGTCTGCTGGAGGGAAGTGATTCAGGGTGCAGCCAACTGTTGTCACAATAAATCTTAAGGAGAGGCAGAGGGGTGCTAAGGACCCAGGGACTGCGGGTCCACAAGCACAGGCAAGAGAAGAAAGTCCCGCGATGGGAAGGGAGGACACCCACACCTGGGTGGAGGCAGGGAACGCTTTGCGTTCCAGGCCCAGACGGGATGGATAACACCTCATGTGACGGGGTGTCAAGGCCCAGACATAACCTTTCTGGAAACCACGGGAGTCTGCCACGAGTAACGAGAATGAATTGTAATTAAAATTGTTGCTCAGGCATGGTGGCCGTCTCTACTGTGAGTCGTACATGGCAGAGGGTAATTTCCACCTGCCTGTGGTCGAAGGGGACGTGGTGATGAACGTTGAAGGAGCGCTCAGCGGGGCTGCAGAGGACAGATTCACCCTTAGGTGAGCAGCAAAGCTAGGAGCGGACCCGGGGCTTGGAGCGATTCCCGAGGTCTCCACCAGCATCTCAACACCCCTACCCGTAACACATCGAGGTGGGAGCGCGTTTTGGTTCTACACGTACAGCTTTAGGAGCACCAGTTCTCTAGTACCAGTTCCCATTCCCACGTCCATCCCTGCGAAGACAGACCTCACGAAGTTTCTCCTTTATGGGACCTCTGGAGCCGTGTCACACGTATTGCTAGGGGCTGAGGTCACTCAGGGTGCCACTCCCTGGGGCCCATGGAAGGAGAAAAATGGGGAAATGGCTCAGAGCAGGAAAGGGAGATATTAGTGTCTTTCGGGATCCCTTGCTCATATGCCAAACTCTCTTGTTCCAAAATCCTTTTTTCATTTTTTAAAATTTATTTTTCAATTACAATTGACATACGTTGTTATATTAGCTTCACAGTGATAAGACATTTATGTAACTTAAAAAATGATCCACGTGAGAAGTCTCATACCCATCTGACACCATACACAGTTATTACAATATTATTGACTATATTCCCTATACTCTACTCTACATCCCCATGACTATTTTTATAACTGGCAATTTGTGTTTTTAATCCCTTTCAAATTTTTATGCAAATCTCCAATTCCCCTCCCATCTGGCAATCATGGATTTTCTCTCTGTATCTACAAGTTTGTTTCTGTTTTGTTTGTTCATTTATTTATTTATTTTTTTAGATTCCACATAAACGTGAAATCGTACTGCATTTGCCTTTCCCTGACTTATTTCACTGAGCCTAATGCCCTCTAGGTCCACCCATGTTGTTGCAAATGGTTAAGATTTCACTCTTTTTTATGACAGTCATATTCCATTGTATGTATGAACCACTTCTTCTCTATACCATCATCAACATTCTTTTTTTCTTTCTTCCACTCACTCTTCTCTAGTCACAGTCACTTACTCAAGAGAGAAAAAGTCTTTGTCTCTAGGGGGTCCCAGCCTGTCTATCCCCCATGGCCACTGCCCAAGCTTATGCAGCCTGGCCATGGGTTGCTTACTGGAAGGGTTGCTGGTCTCCAGCGGATACTGATGCTGATAGGACAACTCTTCTGAACATATGACAGTGACTAGACTAGCCCCTCCCCACGGGACTCCCTTCACCCAATCAGGACATTCCCATTATTGCATGACCAGCTGGATGTCTCCTTTCTCCTCCGAATTTCTGGATAAATCTCTAAAGGCCACAGGGTTGAGGTTCCTTCCCTGGGCTGCTACCATGGTGAGCCCAGCTGTGCCCCCATGGGATGGTGAGAGCTCGGGGTGCCCTGGGCATCCTTCTAGAGATGCTTGACCTCTCAGTCTCTTCCATCAGTAAGGATGCTCTATCCCTGCACAAGTTGTCACTTGTGAAATTTGCCCCTGGACTATATTCTGCCCACAGTTTTCCTTAATGGGCTGAAACTCAAATCAGCCTGAGACTGAACAGCTTGACAGGCCCAAGTAGGTGAGACATTGCCTTAATGTTTTCCATTCCATGAATACTTCTGGGCACAGAAACCCCCTCAGGGCCCCTTTAACTGGAGTGTCCTTATGTCCTGGCCACTTATGAGGACAAGCCTGATTTACTCCCCTGGCCCCAGCATCCCATTGTCCTCTCAGCAGAATCCCCATTCCGACAATAAACGCCCTGCGTCTAACCCATCTGGGCTCAGTGTCACCTGTGGGAGAGGGGGTGGGATGCCCAGAGGACCCACTTAGGTTCTAGAGAAAGAGAGGCAGACACAGAGGAGCCTAACCTCCCAGGGCCCATGAGCTGAACGCTCGGGGTGGTGCTGTCTGTCTGAGAGACATGCTGGTTGTACACACAGAGCTTCAAGAGCCATCGCGAGTGCCGGTTCTCCATGGCTGTGAGGACTGTGAAGACTGGGGCGCGGGGGGTGTCGGGTGGGGACCGGACGGAGCTTGTAGCTTTCTGCATCTCTGTTAGGTCTCCTGCATCGACTCATTCCTCCTGCAGGGGACATGCCTTCCTTGCTCACCTGGGCGAGCCCCAGGAGCGGACCAGCCGCGTCTCCCACATCCTCCCACCTGCTAAGGTCTCTGCTTTTAGCGCCCCCAAGATGACAACCACCAAGCCCGCAGACCCCATTTCTCTTCGGTGAGGGTAACCCCACTCTCCCACCTGCACCTTGATGTTTGCCCTACTTCTGCTCAGCTCCTTCCTCACAGCTCTGCTGGTCCAAACCCCCGTCCCCCCACAGCCCCGCCCCTAACACCCCGTCCCAGTCCACTCCCTCTGGCCCATGCAACGCCTGCTTCCCTCTGAGGCACTGACGGTCCCTTCAGCTGCCCCTCTCTCCACCCCGCCCTTGTGAGGGACTACCACACGTGTCGGAAGAATGGAAGGCCCTGCTTTTACGGGCGCTGGTCTAGGGCCTAAACTCTGCCTCCTTTGATTTGGGGCTTTTTTAGTCATTACAAAAACAAATAGACAGCAGCAGCAACAACAAATAGAAAACAACGGTACTGCAGTTAGAGAAACCTAGAGAGAACTACGACTGATGGGAAGTTATACCCGTGGGATGGTTCTTCTAGGCCACCCCTGCCCTGCGCCACAGCCTTTCCTGGCCTATGTGAGATGATTTGGAAACCTCCCTCACTTCCGGTTCCTGGATACTCAGTGTAGTGGGATGAAGTGTCCCCCCTAAATTCATACTCACCAATGAGGCCTAATATGGAAATGTTTCTGCAGATATAAACATTAAGGACCTCAGGATGACATCCTTCTGAATTTAGGGTGTGTCCTAAATCCAATGAGTCCTGACTTGGTAAGAAAAAGGAGAAGGGACGCTTAGGCACAGAGACACAGGGAAGAAAGTGACATGAAGACAGACATTAGGTTGGAGTGCGGCTGCCACACCCTCAGGAATGCCAGGAGCCAACTGACATGAGAAGAAGCAACAAAGAATTCTCCCCTAGACCTTGTGAAGGGAGTGCAGTCCGCTGACACCTTGACTTTGGACTTCTGGCCTCCAGGACAGTGAGGGAACGCATTTTGTTTGAAACCATCAAGGCTGTGGTTCTTTGTTACAGCAGCGCTGGGAAACAGACACGCTCAGGACTCAAGGCCGCCTCGTGCTCTTACGGTGGGTCCCGCCCCGGAGCTTGGGAGCAGCTGCTGTAGGGTCACCTGCGGCAATCGCACCGTCCTGCTCAGGCCTTGGAACACTTCCTGAATTGCCGTCTGCAGAGGAATGTGCCAGTTTCACAGCTCACCAGTCAGTTGATGGATGACCTGTGGCTTCTTCACCTCTCCCTGCTTTCCGAGGGTTGCTGTGGGGGTTAACTGGGCAAGGACAGTGCCCGGCCCCAAGTCTGGAGCAAAGCAGGCCGTCAGAGAGGCCTCCCTCTTCTCTGCCCTTTCTCAGCTTTCGGACTTCCTTCTCCCCCCTGACACTCGGCCTCGAGTAACTTACACATGACCTTTCTCACCCTCCATCTATGCCTTCTTTCCTCTACTTGCACGCACCCCCCTCCCACCCCCCAGGGCAGCGAATGCCACCTGCATGTAGAGTTTACTGAGTAAGGTGACCATCTGCCCAGGTGGGGACACTCCGTGTGCTGCCTCTGGGGTGGCCTGGTCTTTGTCCCGTTAAGTGAAGGTGCCCACTGGAAGGGCTATGAGGGTGTAGCACCTTGGCCCCCCGCCCCCGAGCCCTGCTTCCTGTCCCCATTTCTCCTCCAGGACCTGACCCCCTGTGTCCCACCTCTGGGAAATCGTTAGGTTTCTCGTTTCAGTATTTTTACCTCTGTGCCTTCTTTACGATTCTAACCTAGACATGCAGAACAGAACTAAATCTTGTGCCGAAAACCCAAAACAGGATAAGATGGAGGTGTTAACAGACACAGATAAAACCTAAATGTGCAGTAAATGAAACGTGAATCTGGAATTGAGAAAAAACCGGGCATCCTAGCCCACAGGAATACGCTGTCCGCTGTCTTATACTGACGGGGAGGAGTTATGGGTCACCTGGGCTCATCCTTTTTCAAGAGCCCAGAACATTGCCCTTTAGACTGATGGTACATTCTGGGGCCCCAGAATGCCTGGGTATGGACCATACAGCCCACCCTCCACCAGGATGAATGGGAGGCACCGCATTGATCAGAGAGGACGGTCAGTCACTCCATATGCCTGAGAGGTGGTGCTCTCCCCACACAAGAAGGTGGGTCTTCGAAGGGCAGAACTCCATGGACACTTAAACACAACCAGGTCCAGCAAGACATTTTTATTGGTTTAGTCTAGTTCAGACCCAGGGTTGAGGAGCTCAGTCTGCAGGGCCCCAGAGAGAAGGGACAGGTATCTATGTAGGAAGGTGATCAGAGGTGGAGAGGGACGCAGACTGGAAGCACATAAAGGTGCGTCTCGGGTGAGGATTAAGAACTCAGGACGTGCTTTGGGAACTGGTCTCAGGAATTCTTTTTCTTGACCTGCAGAAAAGAGGACACTGTTAGGGTCCTATGGGCCATGGAGAGTAGGAGAGGGTCAGAGGGGGCCGATTCTGCCCCTGACTTTGGGAAGGGCTACCTGACTCCCCCCTTGCCCCCATGAGGCAGTCTGTAATGATCCCTACATGTTCCCCTCCAGGCTGACAGTCCCGTTACAATTTCCTGGAGGTGAAAGCTTATATCAGGGCCAAGGTCAGGCTCTGAGATCCCGTCCCACCCTCTGTACGATGTTTCACGCTCTCCCTCCAACCTGCCTGCCCGCCCTGCCCCTCTTACCATGGCCATCAGCACCAGGGCGCTGACCAGCACCGCATACACGGTGGCCTTCCCCAGCAGGATCTCATACAGGAGGGTGGCAGACAGGACCCCTTGCTGATAGGACACTGTTGGCAGGAAGGGAGAGCAGGCAGGTGCTGTGAGCAGGTATCTCTGCCCTCCCCACCCCCACCGTTCTCGGGTTCCAGAGCAAAACCACGGGACGTGGAGAGCAAGGAGCAGAGGGTCACTTACCCGAGGTGAGGCCGCAGTCTGAAAGAAAGAAGGGGAGGGAAGTGGATGAGCAGGTGAGACACTGAGGCAGCCGTGCAGTCAGCCCCAGACCAGGGGAGCCTGGCACTCCCTGCTTCCCTTTGTGCCCATTGGCCACAGCGCCCTTGCCATCCGTGGGACGCACGTGGCAGCCCTGAAGGGGATGGGGCTACCCCACGCAGGCGCCGAGCCACCCAGGCCAGGAGTCAGGGGCCCGGCGGCGAGGCTGTGCTGCCTGGGGATCTGGGGCAGAGGCAGCCCGACGTGCCCCGTTCTCCATCATGGTGGGCTTTCCTCTCCCCACCCACCCCTTTTCCTGGATCTGGCCTTGGCGGCTTCCGCTCGCGCCCGCGTCTCCCTGGTCCGCCTCGGTCCTCGCCTGGCTCCCCCAGGCCCCGCTCACCGGCTCTGCCCCTGGCCCCGGCGCTGATATTCTGGGTGACGGGCTTGGGGCCGTCCGTCTCCTCCCACGTGTCGTTCTCGTCCAGCCCGTAGAACTGGACTTGGCAGCGGAAGAAGTTGCGCGTGTTGTGCCAGAAGGCGGCGGAGACCCTCAGCCGGCTGCTCAGGCAGTAGTTGGAGTTGTTGTTGTTGGGATGCTCCTTGTAGGGCTGAGGGTCCGTGCTGACCCCGCTCTGGACCTCCTTGCCGTTCACCCACCAGCTCAGCTCCACGTGGTCGGGGTAGAAGCCTGTGGCCAGGCACACGAGCGTGGCCTTTTGGGTCCGGGCGATCTCTGCTTCCGATGGTTCAAACACGGTGACCGTGGGTGGCTTCACCCTTTTGAGGTCCTCTGGAAGGGAAGAGGGGAGGGCGCCAGGGCTGGTCTGAGAGCTGTGGGGGCTGGGTCGAGGCTGTGTGTGTGCATGTGCATGTGCGCGTGCTGAGAAGAAGGTCATCGTAAAGCAAAGCTATGTAGCAGGCCATTAGTTTGGGCATCACCATCTACTGCCTCTCCATCCCCTTAAGGAGACATTAGGATCGCCGCTGCCTAATCTTCTGAGTATATTATTTGATTTCTTCTCCATCGATAAAAGCTACCTGTCTACGTCTCACCATTTTAGTAGTTATTTAAATGGAGCACTGGGTTCGAATCCGAGTAACAGGATCCAAATCTCAGAACGGACTTTGCCCATGCCTGCGACTTCAGCACTTGGCTTTCTCTGCATCCTTTTTCCTGCTCCATAGGGACAGTCGCAACACTGACTGGACAGAGGGGGCGTGGAGATTCAATGATACAAGGACCAGAAACCCCTGCCCTCAGTTGGTTGTTTGTATCTGAATCTAAGCAGCTGAGGAGGACAGGGGAGTTGGGGACAACTTGGGAGCTGGGCTTGTTGTGTTCAGACGACAGTGCACAAATGGCACATTTTCGGGCACTCAGGCAAGGGTACCCTCTCGTGGGGTGTGCCCCTGACATTTTTGTCGTTCATGAAGTCATCCCAGCCATTCCTTCACCTCCGTGTTAGCCTGGGAGTCTTCCTCAGCTCTGACAGAGGCAACTCAGGCTTCAACAAGCCCCTCTGACCCTTCGTTTCCAAATGCTGTACTTTCCCAGCGGAGAGCTTCCCAAATGAGCATCTGAGGACCTCAGAGCCACCTGTGGCCCCCCGTTGTCACGACGCAGGGTGCGTCCTCAGCCTGTCTACAGGTGTCCGGGCCACAGGGGAAGGGCTTCCCCGCGAACCCCCGCAGCCTTCTGGTCAGCAGGCTCCCTTCCTCTGGGCTGTTCTCCACCCATTTAACCCGATCTTTGCTTTCCACGCATGTTGTTTGTTTCTGAGCAATTCTGTTAAAAGTGAAGAAACCTCATCCCTATGAGAATCTAGGTCAGCCTGGAAGAAGGAGAAAACGCCCCTCCGAGTGGCACTTCCTCCCTCTGCGGAAGCGGGGTCACGGCTGCAGGGCATGCAGGGCCCCACACGCGGCAAGGCCCCCGCACACTTGGATTAAGGGCTGCTGTCACCATTTTGAAATTCTACATCACTTTCTAACAAGAGCCCCCGCATTTTCACTCCGAGCTGGTCCTGCATCCCTGCATGTCAGCTCCCCTCCCGGGAGCTCTTCCCTGCTCACTGCTCCTCTGTCCCGAGGGCTTTACGGGCGACGGTTACTGGTTTACTCTACAGAGTGAAATGGTCACGTCCTAACTGACGTTTGCAGTACCGGCTCCGTCCACCCTTCCGCTCGCAGCCTGGTTCTTTGCTCTCAGCCCCGAGACCCTGCCTCTAGGATGCCCCCAGCCCTCCAGGGGGACCGCACAGGCACCCTTCGGCCCCCTCGCCTGGCACACGCTCAGTCTCCAGTGGAGACATCAAAGATGTCCTCTGAGCCATGTGTGACGCTCCCCGCAGCGTTTGCTGATGGGACAGGGGGGCAGGAGGACAGGCAGAGGCAGGAGCGTCGTGACACTTTGAAGCACTGTCTCCGCGGCCCCGCTGTCAGGGCCGGCCAGTTAGTGATGCCTCCACACTTGTGAGTGTGCGGGGTGTGGACTGGTGAGTGCGCCCACTTGTGTGTGCGTTTGCTCTGCGTGCGAATTGTGCAGTTTGTCTTCCCTGTTCCTGACCCACCCCTTACACCTCCCCGCCCTGCCTCCAGCCCTCATGCATTATCCACAGGCCAAACCCTGCCCCTGCTGTGGCCCTGGGCTCACCTGTGACGCCCCTCCCCCACCCCTAAGCAATCAAGGGTGGAGACGGGGAGCACTGAATTACAACCAGCCACCCCTTGCTGGATACTCTACAAGTGCCTTCTCTTGCAGTCCTCACAACAACAGGAAGTGGAAGGCTTCGTGGATGATGTTGCGCAGTGTAGGGACCTGAGGATCATGCAGATCCACTTGCCCAAGGTCACCGATCCCTAGCGAGCCAGGGGCTGCGGCGTGGGCACACCCGGCTCTAAAGTCGAGGCCTGCCCTCCACCCTGGCCGACCCCAGGGAGCCCGCGTTCCCTCTGGGCCACGCCGGCTCGGCCCCATTGGCCCTGGCTTCATGAGTCTAACTACAGCCAGTGCTGGTGGTTACCGAAGAACCCGCGTTACGAGGTTCTCCCCTCTCTGGCCTCAACATTCCCATCACCAGGTGACACTGAAGGCCCCTTCCCAGCTCTAGGAGCCTCAGATCCTCCAGAGAATTTTCCTCGCCTCACAGCAAAGTACCTGCCTTTTGATGCGTTTGGGACAAATGACCGTCCCACGACATCTAGACCGTTCTAGGGGGAATACTCAGGGGGAGGACAATGATTTCAGGCTGGGGGCAGGGGAGGTCCATCTGGGGGTGAATGCACCCCGGTGGCTGAGGTTACTGTCCCCACTCAGGGACCAGCCGCGGGCAGGACTGTGTGCTGCCCTCCTCACCCTCAGGCCCCCTGGGGCCTGAGGCTTAGGAGAGTCAGGGTTTTAAATTGAATTTCAAATCTGCGCTTATGATAAATCTAAAAAACAAAACAAAACCCGGCTTTTCCTCAGTGACTCGTATTTCTCTGTCTTCCTGGCCTCTCTCTTCCACCGTGTTCGTCCTCCTTCCCCCTCCGCTTCTCAGGGCTCCCTCCACCTACAGCTCCCAGGATCCAGGTCTGGGGTGCCTGCTCTCTGGGCTCGCCCCTGCTTTCTCCTGCCCCCCACCCAGCGCTTTCCCCCTGGGCAGCAGTGAAACCTCACCCCACCGACCCCTTTTCTCCAGCCCAGGTTGTCTCAGTCTTTTTCTCCAATCTAGCGGCTCTCAGCGTTCTATAAATCCCCTTCGCCATCGCCCACCGTGTCCCTAAATACCCCAGATGAGGAAAACAGACTCAAAAGCCCCTCTTACCCTCCGTCCACGTGCTCGGACCCGCAGCCCTCACCGCGATTCCCCTGTGCAGAGCCTGCTCCACGGAGGGAAACTCGCCGCGCCCCAGCTCCGGCCGCCCACCCTTCTCCGCAGATCCGGGGGCTGGGGTTGGGTCCCGGGAGACACCGATTCTTACCTACAACCGTGAGTCTGGTGCCCGGGCCGAAGTACTGCTCATACGAGCACAGAGAGGTAGCCCCGCACGCAAACCCCGGCGCGCCACAGCCGCTTCCCGGCCCCGCGTCCCAGCCTCGCTCGGGCACAGCGCAGCGCAGGTGACCAGGTGCCCAGAAGGGGAAGGACCCAGCGCCACCGCCCTCCGTCCCTACCCGCCTCCGAGTCCCCTGGCCACTCACCCACCACGGTCAGCCGGCTGCCGGCCCCGAAGGTCAGGGCGGTGCCTGCGGAGCACAGCCCCAGCGCTCCCCACCAAAACCTGCCCCGCGCCGCTCACCGAGCACCAGGAGCCGCGTGCCGCTTCCGAAGTACTGGGTCTCTGCGTCACGGCCCCCTAGCCCCGCACAAAAACCCGCATGCATCCCCGCGGGCGTCCCCGCTTACCTAGCACGGTCAGCCGTGTGCCTGGGCCGAAGTATTGAGTATTCTGGCTCACAGCACCCGCGCACAGCACAAAAACAGGCGCCGCCACCCCTGGCGCCCCGCAGCGTCCCCGCTGCCCCTCCTGGTCCCCCTGGCGCCTCTGCTTACCTAGCACGGTCAGCCGGGTGCCGGGGCCGAAATACTGAGTATCTGTGCTCACAGCACCGACACCCAGGACAAAAACCTGGCGCTGTCCTCTGCTGCTGCCCTGCCCTCGGCCAGGTCCCCTGACACGCTGCCCGCTCCACAGCTCGCTCAGCACCCAGAACCCAGAGTCCCCCGCCGCGGGGCGGCCCTGCGCCTGAATGGAGTTGGGGAGCTGTCCGCCTCTGTCCATCCTGTCCCGCAGAGCGCTCCGGACCCCCAGCTGCCTTCCTTACCGAGCACTGTCAGCCTGGAACCTTTCCCGAAGTACAGCTGTCCGGTGTTTGCACAGCCCCGGGGACCCAGGCGCAAACCCCACCTTCCCGGACTTGGGTCCCTCGGAGGGTCCAGCGCCCAGTCCCGGAGGGTCAGGGTTCAGGGGCTCATCCGGGCTGAGCAGCCCACCCTCTGTCCCACCTGGAGTGGCTCTTACCTAACACGGTGAGCCGGGTGCCTGGGCCAAAGTACTGCTCAGCATAGGAGCACAGTGGGAAGGGGCTGCTAAGAATTCCTCCCCCTCCTCCAGCTCCCTTGGCGCAGCCTGACGGGCTACCCTCCTTGTCCCTCCTGGCTTTCTCTCCCCACCTCCAGAAGGAGCGGAGCAGGGTAATGTGGACCCTGCAGGGGGTCACCACCAATTTGCACAGGAAGTGAACTTGGCTTGGGGACAGTACGTGGTGGCGGCCGCAGTGGCCATGCTGGTGAAATCTGAAGGGGTTCTGGTGGGGTGGTTGGGCTGGAGTTGGGGAGTGTCCCAGGGTAGATAGACCCTGCCTGGTGATACTTAGGACCTCGGTGGCCTTAGTTTCTCGGTGGCATTTGAAAAATGGTGAAATGTCTTCCCCACAGGCTTGTTGTGAGTGCTTGATGATTAACGCACGTGCAGGTACTTTGTCAAAGGGCAGGCTTTATGTAGGAGAGGCGCTGAATGAGGATCCCACTTTGCTGCCTCGGCCCTTGGCATTCTGGGGAGTCGAGTCTGGAGCAGAGAGATGCAGAGGTGTGCCCCGAGTCAGGGTGCTGCGGGCCCTCCGCGGGGGCCAGCCCCGGGGGCCTCTCCCAGCCCCGGAGCTGCCTGCGCTGCAGCAGTGGGGGGGTATTTTCCCAGGCAGGGCTTTTTGTAAAAGCATCCCCTCTACTTGAATCATTGTGGCCCCCCCCCAAGTTGCCACAATGCTACATGGTGATACAAAAAGATTTCCTCCCCTCGGGTTCCCTTCCCCCAGCCCCTGGGCAGAGGCAGGAAGCACAGGTGGCAGAGGTTGGTCTGAGGGAGTGCGGCTGGGGAAAGGCCAATGGGGGGTGTTTTCTAGACGGGGGAGGGGCTTGGGGAAGGTCTTGGAGCTGGTGGGGGCGGGGCAGAGAGGCCCCTCTCTGGAAGGCATGCCACTCTGAGCTCTTCTGTGCCATTGGGTCTCCTGTCTGGGACTCACCGGGCCCACCTGCACATTTATAGCCAGGCCTGGTGGGAGGAGCGAGGGGTGGGGTTTATAGAGCAGGTGACAGCAACCTATGGCAGCAGGACAGACTGCCCGGAAACCTCTGTAATTCCCATTGCTTCCTGAACAAAGTTCAAGCTCCTTAGCCTTCATGTAGTCCACGGATATTTAATGAGCATCTACTACGTGCCAGGCCGCACGCTGGCCCATCCCCAGAGTGACGGGCACCAGCCTGCCTTTTCAGCCTCACGTTTTACCACTCCTGTGTCTGAACCTTGTACCCAGAAGTTCCCAGCCCATTATTTCGGCTTTTGTTTGTGCCTTTGACTGCCATGGCCGCTCTTCCACGTTGCCGAATGAGATCAGTTCTTCCTCTGAAGAGTTTCCCAGCTTCTCAGGCTCCTTCCTGAGCACCCCGGTCAGAAATTTGAGCACTAGCCTCTGACCGCATTTTAGCAGATAGCTCCTGTGGCTCTTTCCAAGCATCGCTTTGCCTTTCAGCTATTTCTATTTGTGAATTATCCCCTTTGGGAACAGGTAAGCTTGGGGACTGTGACTTAGATATCTTTATTTTCTCAAAAGTTCATAGCAAAGCATTGCAATTTATGTGTTCGATGAGTGTGTACATACATGTGTGTATAGAAATGTGCATATGTGTACACATATGTGTGTGCACACAACCTCCCACTTGAAAGCATGTGTGTGTTGCATGAGAGAGGGCAGGCTGTGTCCTGGGGTCCTGCAGACGGCAGGGTACGTAGCTGTTTCAGGCGGGCCTTACAGCGATGTCTGCTCCCGGACTGGGTCACCTTGGGTTCATTCATTTATTCATTCGTTTCTTCAAAGAGAATTCATTGGGTTCCTACCCTGAACCAGGGTCCTATGCCATATCCCAGGGTTACCATAATAAAACACAGCCTCGTCATCAAGAAGCTGACGGTCAAATGGGGGTGTCAGACCAGCGAAGAGATGGTTTCCACTGAGTGTGATGTCATGAAGGATGTGCACACAGGGCACGATGACAGCAAAATATAGGGCACGTGTTACCCAGCCTCAAGGGAGTTGGGGGCAGGGAAGCTCCAGAGAAGGCCTCCTGTGGGGAAGACGCTGGAGCTAAATCTTTGAGGCTAAGTAGCAGGCAGAGGACTCGACCATTGCAGGTCGAGGGGTGCAGCATGGCCGGGAAGCAAGGTGCCCAGGGGGTTCGGGGATGAGAGGAGTGGGGCGCGTGTGGAACGAGGAGGTGGAGCACAGTCGCGGGCCCCTCCCACGTGCCGTCTGGAGGCTGTAGCACCTCGGTGAGCGAGACGGCAAAGAGGTTTTGAAGGATTCCTAGAGATAGTGATAGGGCTGATCCCTGCTTTTAGGGAAACTATTCTCTATCCTTCTAGCGCCATCGAAATGCGTTTGCACACCTGTTAATTCACTGGAGAGAGATATTTATAAGCAGATTTGTAACTTCAGCTGGAAGACATCGTCTCCAAGTCAGTGCATGCTCTTCTCACCTGGGAAACCCACTCGGAGATAAGGGGAGGTGAACGATGTACCCAGTGAGGCAGCTGACAGGAACGGGGTGACGAATGTGACACCGGGCCTTGTTAGCCAGGGGACACGACCCGTTGGCGGGTGGACACACCTGTGTAGGTCAGCTCTCCTTCAGAGCCCCTGCGTCCAGGTAGGTCAGAGGTTGCTACGGTCAACATGTCCGCTTTTCCAGGCTGTTTGGGAGTAACACGCTCTACCCCCACCTTCCACTTTCCTGAAGTTCCCGACAAGGAGGAGCAGTGCCAGCCACAGACTGGGCCCCGCATACCCCAGGGGACTGCGCTTTCCCTGGATGCCTCTGGTTTCTGTCCTAAGTGGCGTCCATGAGAGTTTAGAAATGGGCACAAGACATAAGGAGACACTCCAGGCAGAATCAAGCGAGAACAGGCCGTTTTTATTGGTTCAGTCTGATTAGGCCCGCCGGGGCGCCCCTGGGGTTAGGGAGAGGCGGTCAGGAGCCTCCAGCTGTGCAGGTACATAGGGACGCCCTAAGAGGCGAGAATGGCTCTTCAGAAGCAGTGGCTAGGAATGGAAAAAGGTGGGTTCACGTTGGGGCGATAGAAGACTGGACGTTCCCGGCTGCACCTCGGAGCTGGTGTCAGGAGTCCTTTCTCTTGACCTGAAGAGGAGAAGGTTTTGGAGTCACCTGCAGCGACGGGGACTGAGGGAAAGCAGCACAGCCCAGTGACTAGAGGCACAGGGCTCCTCACAAGCTCCACTGGATCTCAGGTGACCCCAGCTTCTCCTCCCCTCCCAGCTCTTCCACTGCGACCCCAGAGGTGCAAGGTGTGTTCTAACACATGCGGGTAAACCCCCCTCTTCCTCTCTGCCCACCTCGGACCCTGGCGGAGTCCCTATAGTCCTGGCTCTGAGTCACTGTGCTTCAATGTCACCTTCACACTGCCTGTCCCCCTGCCCCTCTTACCATGGCCATCAGCACCAGGGCGCTGACCAGCACTGCATACACGGTGGCCTTCCCCAGCAGGATCTCATACAGGAGGGTGGCAGACAGGACCCCTTGCTGATAGGACACTGTTGGCAGGAAGGGAGAGCAGGCAGGTGCTGTGAGCAGGTATCTCTGCCCCCCCCACCCCCACCGTTCTCAGGTTCCAGAGCAAAACCACGGGACGTGGAGAGCAAGGAGCAGAGGGTCACTTACCCGAGGTGAGGCCGCAGTCTGAAAGAAAGAAGGGGAGGGAAGTGGATGAGCAGGTGAGACACTGAGGCAGCCGTGCAGTCAGCCCCAGACCAGGGGAGCCTGGCACTCCCTGCTTCCCTTTGTGCCCATTGGCCACAGCGCCCTTGCCATCCGTGGGACGCACGTGGCAGCCCTGAAGGGGATGGGGCTACCCCACGCAGGCGCCGAGCCACCCAGGCCAGGAGTCAGGGGCCCGGCGGCGAGGCTGTGCTGCCTGGGGATCTGGGGCAGAGGCAGCCCGACGTGCCCCGTTCTCCATCATGGTGGGCTTTCCTCTCCCCACCCACCCCTTTTCCTGGATCTGGCCTTGGCGGCTTCCGCTCGCGCCCGCGTCTCCCTGGTCCGCCTCGGTCCTCGCCTGGCTCCCCCAGGCCCCGCTCACCGGCTCTGCCCCTGGCCCCGGCGCTGATATTCTGGGTGACGGGCTTGGGGCCGTCCGTCTCCTCCCACGTGTCGTTCTCGTCCAGCCCGTAGAACTGGACTTGGCAGCGGAAGAAGTTGCGCGTGTTGTGCCAGAAGGCGGCGGAGACCCTCAGCCGGCTGCTCAGGCAGTAGTTGGAGTTGTTGTTGTTGGGATGCTCCTTGTAGGGCTGAGGGTCCGTGCTGACCCCGCTCTGGACCTCCTTGCCGTTCACCCACCAGCTCAGCTCCACGTGGTCGGGGTAGAAGCCTGTGGCCAGGCACACGAGCGTGGCCTTTTGGGTCCGGGCGATCTCTGCTTCCGATGGTTCAAACACGGTGACCGTGGGTGGCTTCACCCTTTTGAGGTCCTCTGGAAGGGAAGAGGGGAGGGCGCCAGGGCTGGTCTGAGAGCTGTGGGGGCTGGGTCGAGGCTGTGTGTGTGCATGTGCATGTGCGCGTGCTGAGGAGAAGATCATCGTAAAGCAAAGCTATGTAGCAGGCCCTGTTTGGTTTGAGATCACTGTCCCATTCTTTGTGTCATTCGCCCTCGACTCCGCCACCTCCTTCTCAGTCACCCCATGTCTTCTCCATCTCCCTGAGGAGAAAAATGTCCCAATTTTCTTGGGTTTCCTTGCAAAGTCTTACACTCAGGGCCATGTTTGAGCATCTATCAGAAGAGTATCTCTGTCTATTTTTCATCCTTGTTCAAAGCCCTCTTTGGTGCACGATATAATCTTTGAGACTTAGAAGTGGCTATAGCAGAGTTGAATGAGCCTAGAGTTTGAGGCATAAGATTCTCACTAGCAGCATAATCCCAGGAACTACATGGACTCTTTCTAGTTATCATTGCCCTGTTTTGTAAACTGTATGTGTTTGTTTGGGCACTGGCACATATAAGAATTAGCTTTTCTTGTCTAGAAGAGACACTTTTCCCATCGCATCTGACTATATTGTTTTCTATATACTATACCCAATTCCCTCCCTCCCTTCCTCCCTCCCTCTCTCCCTCCCTCCCTTCCTTCCTTCCTTTTTTCCTTAAGTGTGTAACCTGCCTTGAGGAACCAAGGCGCCTCTGGCTGTTATCTTCTCAGATGTCCCCATTTCCAGCTACACTGGGGCGCACGGGGTACGAGGTTGCTCTCCCAGGATGACTGTCGTGGGTTGAGCCCTTTCTTCCCTCCAGTGCCCAGTAAGCCCCCTGCCAGGTTTGGGATTCACAGCCAAGTTTTGCCTTCTTAAAAGCAGTAAGAGCTTGGTTGCTGGATAGGAGCAAAACCCCACGTCCAAAGGCCAATTCATCAGAGAGTCTGTACTGCGCACTCTTGGGTCTGTTAATAGCCGGGCAGATGGGAGAGAATGCAGTTCTGAGTTGTCTGAAGTCATGTCCCCATCTGAAGACGCAGAGAGATGGGAGAAACCACATCCATCTCCCCGGCCCCCTCCTTCTTGTCTGAATTTGCCGTGCCCTGGATTTGGCTCTGTGTTGACGACAAGTATGAGGTTTGGCAGCAGCCGCATGGCCAACCCAGACAGCTCTACTCGATCCAAATCCAGGACACGTTTCTTACAGGGAAGTCAAGACACAGGTTTGGCAAAAGGCAAATCCTGGGACCCAGGGACAGTGAGCAATGGGAATGAAAAGAATGGTCATTAAAGGTGAGTCCTTCACAAAGGGTTTTGTACCAGAGTCAGGTTCCAGTGTGAGGACCCCCAAGCGCCTGGCATTGTTAGCTCCGTTTTATCCATCTCACTAACTCATGAGCCCCCTCCCCCGGAACCCGGGCCCTTTGAATCCCAGTCATTTGAACTTTTCAGTTGCCATTGCAGTCCCCGGCATGTGCCCCCATCTGTGGACAAAGCTTGATCGCGCCAACCAGTCTCGGGCCTCCACGACCCCCTCCTGCAGCCTTGTCTGTGTCTCCAGCCCAGACCCTCTCATCCTTGCCCCGCTCCTCCAGCCACCTGCTTCCTCCCGGACGCGGTCATGGTGTGGTAGTGTTTCACAGTGGATCTCTTACCTGTAACCCCAGCCTGGATGCTGAGGTTGAGAAAATGGGGCCTCCTATCTATTGCTCTCCTTCCCACCTTTCCAGTGCAGCAGTTTATACAGACTTATGTCCTCCAACCCCTACCAGGCATGGTGCCTCCAGAGACTCCCTCCCCTGCAGATCCCGCAACGCCATGACAGGGGCTTCTGCCCTGGGGTCTCAGGATGGTCCTTCAGACCACGCCAGCCCCACCAGTCTGGACCCCCAGCCACTCCTCAGCCCTTGAACCACTGCAGAGAGACATGCCCAGGGGTCTGTGGAGACCAGCCGAGGCAGAGGAGGAGGGTGATGAAGGCAGGGGCAGAGTGCTGAGCCGGAGGCAGGTGTCCGGGAGGACATTCCCATAGAAGGCAGAGCTGTTCGCCACAGCGGAGTGAACAGCGTGAGGCCAGAGTCAAAACAGGAGGGAGGAAACAGAGACGGTCAGATAAGAAAGGGTAAGTCAAACAGCAGCCATTGAAAAAGTAGAGATGAGAGAAGGAGCTGGGAGAATATAAAGAGAAGAGAGAAAAAAACAAAGGGGCCGAAGACCGCGCATGGAGCCCAGCGCTGAGACGCGGCACAAATACAGTGGAGTGAAGCCAGGAGGCTCCGGGCAGGGCAGGGCGGGCCCCGAGCTCCAGCAGGGAAGGGTGGCTCTGATCCTGTCTTCACACCCCACTGCCCTCCCAGGGACCGACCCCCATGGTCAAACACAGGCACCCTCCCCCTGCCTGGAGTTCGACCCTGTACCTGTCACAGTGAGCCTGGTGCCGGTTCCAAAGCTGAGGGGCGAATTATAGGAACACAGCAGCAGATGGCTGTGGTAAAACCCACCCGCGGCCTCCCTCCCGGGGGCAGGTCTCAGCTACCCGGGGGCAGATGTGGCCACCTTTCCCTGCCGGGCGTCACAGCTCGGGGCCAAAGAGATTCCATTAGGAAGAGGACCAAAGCATCGAATGGGGAAAGCGAGGACAAACGAAGCTGTTCAGGACCGGCAAACCCAGCTGTGTAAGAAGGAGGATGAACCAAGACAAGGATGAGGAGGCTGGTGGTGGACTGACGGCTGAGTCAACCGAGCTGCACCAAAGGGAGGCGGACACAGCTCCGTGGAACCCCCCCACCCTGGGGAGAACAGAGCGTGCTCAACCCCCTACCACCCCGCCTGGGAGCGGGGACAGCGGCCGGGTCCAACGGACGTCCCTCTGCTGCCTCGGTCCTGTGCCTTACCTAGGACAGAGAGTCGAGTCCCAGCTCCAAAATGCTGTGGCTGGTTGTTCCACAGTACAACAGGCATGTGCAAAACCAAGAACCTCTCCTTCCAGAAGCTAGCGTCCCCCAGAACCCCCAGGGGCTCGTCCCTGCTCGTCCACACGTTCTGAGCCTTTTTCCTAAGTGTTCTCAGCCTCTGTCCTCTCTGAGGGGTCCTCCTGAGACCCCAACCTTACATCGCACTCTCCCCAGGGAAGCCTTTTACTCACCCAAGACAGACAGCTTGGTCCCACTGCCGAAAAACAGCTTCTCGTTACCCGCACAGCCCTGCAGCCTGAGAGGGAAACCACCCCGCGGCCTCCTCTCCTCCTCCCCAAGTCCTCCTGCCAGCGCGCTTTCCTTTTTCTCAGCCGAATTTTAACTCTGGGAGGCGGAGGCCGGGGGACAACCCTGCCACCCGAAATGCTATAGCAAGAGGACCTACGCAGCCCCGTGAGACCCCCACCCGCACCCCCCTGTGCCCGTCCCTTTCTGTGTGGGCGTGAAAGCAGCAGGACCGTGGCATCGCTGTGTCCAGACGCTCTCCGTCTGTCACGGTCATGGTGGGCCACGCCCGAGGAGACAGAGATGAACAAGGGGACCCCTTCCTAGTGGGGACCAATTGCCCCTGCGGAGGGGAACCTGGCCTTGGCGCAGCCAGTCCCTGGAATTACTGAGGATGGAGCCTGTCCGCTCTGGTCTGCATCCAAACAAGAATTCAGACCCGACTGATAAAAACAGGCTTTCACCTAAGTCTCCGCTCCGCCGGAGTCCCTGTGCCTTTGTCCGTTCCCGGCCCTCCGGCCCCCGACTGGCTTACCTACAACAGTGAGCCGGCTGCCCTCTCCAAAATAGACGGTGTCTCCGTAACACAGCCTCCGGGATCCATTTCAAAACCCACCCTGTGTGCTGAACGCAGCTGGGGTGCCCCCGGCCGGGGCCCTGGCCTGCATGTGATACCCTGCGTGCCCTGCCGTAGCTGGCCCCGCCACCCAGGGAGAGAGACACGGTGTCACCTCCTGTGAAATCCAGATCAAGAGAGGACGCGAGCCTCTGTCGGTGAGGGGAGGCAGGCTGCATCGGAGACCGTGCATGGCCTGGGCCTGCTCCCGGCTCCCTTGTCCCAGGAGAGCACTCACTGGGGCAGCGCCACCCGCCTTCCCTTCGCCGCCCGCCGCCCCGGGGAGGCCCAGCGGCCGGCTCCCAGAGGACCTCAGGAGGCCGGGGTGGACGTGCGCTCCAGGAACCCTCCTCTGAATCATTGGCCGATGCACAGGTGGCGTCTCCGTAACCGGGACCCCAGAGCCAGGTCATTCCTTCCCACGTTTCCCGGGCTAGAGCCTCTCCATGCCTCCTGCCCCCTGCTGCCCCCACCTCCTGGAGACCCCAGCCTTACCTACGACCGTCAGCCTGGTCCCTGAGCCGAAGGTAATGTCATAGTTAACACATCAGAACAGGACCACTCTGAAATGCACCCTTTGGACCCGCTGCCCCTCCCGGGGGCCTGCAAAGACCTGGAGCGTGTCTTACCTACCACCGTGAGCCTGGTGCCGTCTCCAAAGAAAGGTTGGGTGTTCACACAGTGCCGTGGGGCCAGGAGGAAAACGGAAGGAGGCGGGGAGGAGGGGCCCTGGCTGGTCGGGGGACTCCGGGATGATTGTTCATGAGAGCTCCCCCAACCCGTGCTTTCCAGATGTCGCACAGAACCGAGTCGGCTCTCGCTCCTGGGGCCACGGAGCAGGGCCAGAGTCCATCCGGAGGGCCCGCGCCCCTTTCGCAATGGCCTCTGAGGGTCTCTCAAAGGGACGTGGCCTGGACAGCAGGACAGGGTCCCAGAACCCAGGTTTCCTCTCTCTTCATCCTCTATAGAATGGGTCCCCTCCCAGGCCCCTTGCCCGTGACCGTGTCCTGAGGTGAGGGGGGCTCCCTGAGCCCTTCCTGTATGAGCCCACTGCAGTGTCCTTCTTACACCTGGGCTCTCTGCCTGGAAGTTTTTCAGCTCCGATCCAGGCCTGCCCGTCCTTACCCTTGGCCTTGGCTGGACGGTAGACAGGGGTGCGCGGGAGGCGTTCTGAACCAAGCCACCCTCAGCTCAGGCCTGTGACCCTAGAGGCCTGCGGGATGGGACAGGCAGAGGGGTTTTTGTAAAGGTTTCCGGTAGAGTTGTATCACCGTGGCCCCCTGTCCCCACAATGTTTCAGCTTTGTACAAAAACGCCCCTCCCACGCCCCGCCCCCTCAGAGCCTGGAAGAAACCGCCAGAGCAGTTGCTCTTCCGAGGGTGTTGGAGTTGGGGGGCGGTGACATCGGATCCCGCCCCCTAGGGTGAAGTGGTGGCAGGATATGGGCCAGGCTGAGGGTCCCCCGCCTCACCCCATGCTGTTTCTTCAGGATATTCTTCGCGGCTCAGAGATGGGTGTCTTCGTGAGACTACCTGCCCCGGGAGGCTGGTTTTCTCCCCAACCCGGTACCCGCCCCTCTGCGAGCTGTCGTCAGAGCGGGGAGCCGCCCTGCCAAGAAGCGGCAGCCCCTGCCTGCCCTGGGCCTGCCCTGAGGCTGTGACACTCAGAGGGCACGGTTGCCATCCGAGAATGAGACCCCGAACACTTAGACTCTGTCCCTTTGGCCCAGCTCAGACCCGCCAGGGTGGTCTGGAGGGGAGTTGACTGCGCCGCCCGAGGCAGGGCTCTCCTGCCTGCGACAGAGGGAGAGCTGAGAGCCCAGCGCGGTTCCGAGGGGTGTGGGCGGGCAGAGCAGTGGCACTGCCGGGTTCAGACGCCAGCGGGAGGTCAAGGGCGCTGGGGAAGTGGGTGTGGAGAGCTGGGGAAATAAAGTCTCAGGCGCCAGACGCACAGTCAGATAGAGAGTAACGCCTCCCCTGAAGGGTGGACGGATGCATTTTAAGTTGCTGGTAGACATTTCAATTTCCCTGCGTGAGGTGCCCTTGATTCACCTCCAGCGGAGTGGCCTGCATCTCCTTTCACTAAATGGCGCTTCCTTTTATCACCTTACAAACTCTGACTTAAAGTCTAGTGGGGGGTGGGGGGGAGAGGAATTTGACTACATAATGATGACAAACTTACATGGAAAAATATACACAGAATCAAGAGACCATTGACAACGCGGGACAACAGTTTCAGTTCTCACCGTAAGGACTGATCTTTCCAATATAGGATGAACTCCTAGAAATAAGAAAATAATCCAGCAGCCCAACAAAACCGGGCAAAGAAGAGGCGATGCAGACAAAAGATCCAAACGGTGCTTAACCATAGGGGAAAAAATGGCAATAATAAATGCAAACTAAAATTACATTGAAATGTTGCTTTTCACCAACCTGACAACATTAAGTCACGGAAGAACATTTTCTTGGCCAATGTGTGGTGAAAAATGCACTTGCACATATAGTAGTCCACTCCTTAGCCACAGTTTTGCGTTCCAAAGTCAACCACGGTCTGGAAATAGTAAATGGAACATTCCAGGAATAAACCATTTATACATTTGAAATCGCATGTTGTCCTGAGCAGGAGGCTGAAACCTTGCGCCATCCTGCTCCGCCCTGCCCAGGCGGTGACGCGTCCCTTTGTTCAGCTCCCCACACTGTGACGCGCCTTGTCCATGGGTCACTCAGTAGCCGTCTCAGTTGTCAGACCAGCTGTAATGGTACCACAGTGCTCGGGTTCAAGCCGCCCTCTTTGTACCTAGTAGCGGCCCCAAAGCACAAGAGCAGTGATGCTGGCGCTTCAGACAGGCCAAAGAGAAGCCGTACAGGGCTTCCTATAAGTGAAAAGGTAAGTACGGTACAATGAGATATGTAGACAGAGACAACATTCACATAACTTTTAGTATGGTATATTTTTAATATTATTCTATTTTATTATCAGTTATTGTTGTCTGTGCCTAATTTATAAGTTAAACTTTATCAGAGGTGTGTATGAATGGGGGAATAAATGGTATATATAGGATTTGATACCGTCTGCGATCTCAGCCCCCACTGGAGGTCTTGGACCTTATCCCCCGCAGGCAGAGCGGGGACCGCGGCACTGAGTGCTGATAGGAGCGCAAAGTGAGACAACCATTATGGGGAACAGTTTGGAAATATCTATAAAAATTACAAAATGCATTTACTTTTTCAACCAGAACTCTACCTACGGGAATTTATCCCATAAATATCCTTAAATACAAATAAAAATGTGTGTAAACTATTTGCGTTATTTGGAGTAACAAAATGGATTGAGAAAAACATGTGGCCCATCAGCGAGGGACTGGATGAATAAACTGTGATACATTCACGAGCTGGAACATTATGCAGTGCTGAAAAAGGAGGAGATGTTTCCCATTGCTGTGGAAAGTTCTCTAAGGTATGTTATCAACTGGAAAACCCAAGCTGCAAAATAGCATTCTTGTGCGCTACCTTTTGTCTAAGAAAGGGGCAAAATAAGAATTATACTTTTGTTTGTTTGATTCTGCATAGAGTAACACTAGAAGGGAATAGAAACGGATAAGAGTGATTACCTATTAGGAATGAGTGGAGGAGAGAGAAGCAAAGTGGAAATAGAAGTAACATTTTTCAGGGTTGACTTGTTCTGATTCTTGAGCCCTATAAGCTATATTATCTATTTAAAATAAAAACAGTAAAATTTTATTTATTGATTTGAGAGAGAGGGGGGTGGAGAGAGAGAGAGAGATCAATTTGCTGGCTGTCTCACTATTTATGCATTCATCGGTTGCTACTTGTATGTGCCCTGACAGAGATCGAACCCTCAACCTTGGCATCTTGGGGTGACGCTCTAACCAACAAAGCTACCAGGCCAAGGCAAAGCAAAAGTATTTTAAAGAAAAGAAAAATTAAAAAAATAGTACTTTAAGTAATACTTTGAAGCCTGTTATATTAGGAAAAAAACTACTTGTTTAATTTACAAAATTATTTTTGCCAAAGAAGACCAGTTTACATAAGAAGCTGTTTCATGCTCGTGAATTTGTTGAATGAGACTCCGATCTCTTAGGAAGCTCAGAAATGCATATTTCTGAGTAGTCCCAGGATCTTTTCAATTAAAAATTCTAGGATTGAGTTGACTAATTTGTATTGAAATAAACAATCAAGCCCTAAATTATGTTGGGTATTTCTATTTCAGTGCCAGGCTGGGGACCCACTGCTTGTCCCCGACATGGAAAAGGACAGGTGTCAGCGTGGAAAACACCAGAGTGCTACCTGGTAGTGTCACAAGTGGGTGCAGCGCTGTGTCTCTTAGAATTTAGGGGAAAAAGAGAAAGGTAAGACAGACTATTTCACTCAGGGATAGTGACAGACCTCACCATACTCGACCGTAAGTCCAAATCAAAGGCCATGGGTCGCAGGACCGTGTCTTTATTCCTGTTCCACATCGAGAAACAGTCTCATTAATGTAATGACTTATTTTGATTTACCTCTGTGTATTTTCCTGTCTTATTCACCCCTTGGGTCTACCAATAATTGACCCTCTCAGAAAAATGCCTTTGGACCATCTAGCTGGGGACCCTCATCCTGACTGGCCTTGAAAATTATAATACCACTCTGTCTTGGTATCACAGCTACTTTTAATTCTGATGGGATTTGTCCCAGCTTTGTCATTCTGTCCTACTGCCACGTGCCCTGCGTACAAGCAGCTTTTTTTTTTTTTAAGAGCTTGGGGCTGAGTGGGATCATTCATCATCTTGGACAGCAGAGGGCAGCCTTTCCTCATTTTTTAAAACCTAAGTACCTGCTCGTCTGCACTTCTCAATGTGGCCACTTGAGGGGGTGAGAGGAATGTGGATGGTGTTCACGGGACGGAGCACAAAGCCGGGTTACGGGTGTGCCTTTCTCAGGCGTGCGTCAGCATGGGGAGAAGATACATAAATAACATCGTATATATGCGCAATTCTTGAAACATTTCAAGCATGTCAATACCCTCGTGTTAACCTAAAATGTGTTTCCTGATTTCCTCAGAGGTAACAGACCTGGAGGCGACATGGGTTGTCACTTGCACACGATGCAGAAACATCCGGAGTCAGCACCCAGGCCTCCTTACTTAAGGTCTGGGCTCTGCGAGATGCCCTTGTACCTGAGGCTGCTGAGGGTGCTGGCCCTCAGGGAGGCGCACCTCCCAGGACCAGACTTCCGGGGCCCCCACCCAGGCTCTCCACTTCTGTCTGCGTGGCCTTGGGCAAGCCACCACACCCCCTCAAGCCCCAGGCTCTTCATCGGTAAAATAAGAATAATAATAATGACCGATTCCTTATGCCGCCTGAAATAGTAAAAATGTTAGTCACTACTGCTTGCACCAAAAGAGCGGCCTAGGAATCTCTGGGCCACGTGGGTTTTTACGCTTTAGCTTGTATCTGAATGACTTGGAGGACTTGTCAAGATGCACGTCGCTGGGTCTCATCCCAGAATTTCCGACTCAGCAGGCCTGGGGTGGGACCCGAGATGTGCACTTCTCCTAAATTCCCAAGTGATTCTGGGCCTGCTGGTCCAAGGATCACATCTTAGGAACTAATTTTTTTTTTTTTTCCTGGAAGACTCTGTCTTCCTTCAGTTTATTTCCCTCCGCTCCTAGGTCATACTTTATTCACTCCGTCACTGGTGGGCCTCCTGTGTTCTGGGCATTGATTAATCACGAGATGTGCCAGAATGAACAAGACAAGATTTGTTTCCCAATGAGCTCAGTGTCGACTGCCGAAGTAGACGCATGCGTGTTTACTAGGCGGCATGAGCAGGGCTGTCAGCGAGGCTCAGGAGGAGGGCACCTCCCGCAAGCCCAGGGCCAGCGGCACCAGCCCAGGAGTGAGGGGAGGAAAATCGGGAATGGGAAGAGTCAGGAAAGACCTTTCTGAGGAGGGTGAAGGGGCAGGTGGGAAGGCCATCAGGCCAGATGGACCGTAGTGTCCAGAGCTAGAGGTCAGAGATGCATGGCTCGTTGGAGGAAACACCAGGACTTCAGAACACTGGAGCTTCGTGGGGGGGGGGGGGGGGGGGCGGCGCGGGGAGCAGGGAGAGAGGCTGGAAACACAGGGCGGGGCAGAGTGGCAATAGCCCTGCGCCTCCGGGATAAGGAGCTTGGGTTCCGCTTTAAAAGCTGTAGGAGATCTGGAAAGGTATGAATCGGGACTTGATGGAACGTGCAGGACCCTTCTGCACGCAGTGTTGGAAGGTGGGCGGGAGGCCAGGCCCCCCTGGAAGTGCAGTGAGGCAGGGGATGGGCTGGAGAGACGCTGAAGAGCAGAGCTGAGGGACCACAGTGGCCGCCAGGGAGACCGCGAGGTGGGCTAGAGAGGGCACAGGCTTTGGGGCCAGGCAGGTACGGAGTTCACCCCCAGATCGACCATTTGCTGGATGAGGGACGAGGGTAAACCAACCTCTGCTTTCTTGTCTGGACCACTGGGATAATATCCACTCCAGAGTGGAGGGCGAACGACCCCTGAAAATGTCTGTAAAGCACTCATTATGGTGCTTACACATTGGTATCGTCAGGTGACGTGAACGAAAGGCTAATTTCTCTGGAGCTTGAGGAATGGAGACCCAGGGAGGACACATGGGCAGATTATCAAGACAGAGGGCCCAGCGGGGGCTTCGGGCTGCAGGGAGGGAGCACAGGCTGGGTCGGAGCATGTGACAAAGGGGCTCGGAAGAGGCCAAACTGTTTGCCCAGGTGCTGCCCTTGATGTGTCGCACGGAGAACTGTGTTTGCCTGCGCCCTGTGCGCTCGCCGAAGCCGTAGGCTCGCCCTAGCCTTGTGCGCAAGTGCAACCGAGGTCAGCGGGCCTCTAACGCTGCCTTCTGAAACGTGCCTTCTGCTAGAAAGCAGCCCGCCTTCGCCCCCTGCTTATGACTTTTTGGGGGTTCTACCTCTTCACATGCTTCCCAGTGAGGACTCTACGGCGCACGTGGGGGTGAGGGGGGTCCTCTGCTCAGCCATGAAGGCCAGGGCCCATCTGACCCCGGTGGGAAGACGTTTCCCAGAATCGGGGGGGCGGCGGGAGCAGCACAGACACAGGCTCTTGAGTCAGTCCCTTTATTAGCATAGCTATGGCAGAGGGATGGGGTGGGAGCTTTAGCTGTTCTTGGCCATGGTCTCCTGAATCCAGTCCACGAAGTTGCAGACCCTGGTGTACACACCAGGCCTGTTCTTCTGGGCGCAGCCGTAGCCCCAGGAGACGACTCCCTGGAGTTCCCCATTGCAGACCACAGGGCCGCCAGAGTCACCCTGGGGACGAAGGAGGCAGGACGCGTTTGATAAAGTGTGAGAAAAGAGGGGGGTACTGCCCCACGGCCTGGGGGTTCCAGTCCGACTCCCAGACAGGCCAGGGGCAGGAGCAGGGGTCCGCGCCCGCGAGGGGGCCAATCACCTGGCAGGAATCCTTGCCGCCCTCGAGGAAGCCGGCGCACACCATGTTGTCGGTGATCTGTCCGGGGTAGGAGGCTTCACACTGGGCCTGGGACAGCAGTGGGGCGTCCAGGCACTGCAGCAGCTCAGGGTAGTTGACTTGGAGGAGCAGGAAGAGATAAAGGAAAGGGGAAATGTGAGTCAGGCCAGGGCGGGGCGACGTGCAGCCGGGAGAGGACCCCAAGGACGTAAACCCCAGCAGAAACAACGCGCTTCAGCTCCCAGAATGACCGTCGCTGGACTCCTCCCCGGAGGTGGCCGTGGCAAGGGCTTTGTTTGTCTTAACCTGGGGTCACCCCCTTGGGACTCGGCATCCCTCTGGTCCCCAGCATAGAGCCCTGTGTGTAGAGGACACTGACATCATTTGCAGAGGGGGCTGAGCTCGGGAGTGTGAGGTTCTGGGGAACGATGGGGAGTCAGAGGGTAAAGAAACGAGGGCGCCACTCACTGCCAGAGCTCAGGGTGTTGCCCCAGCCGGAGATGAGGCACTGGGTGCCGGCGGGCGCGCAGGAGGTGGGCAGAGAGATGGAGGACACCCGGCTATCGATGACCGCGGGCGAGGAGAGCTTGATCAGCATGATGTCGTTGTCCAGGGTCCAGCTGTCGTAGCCGGGGTGGCGGATGACCTTGGCAGAGTTGATGAACTGCTCACCCCCCTCCGTCACTTCTATGTTGTGCTCGCCCAGCCTCACCTGGATGCGGCTGTTGGGAGGGAAGCCCCTGAGCACCTGTTCTCCTATCCCCATGCTTCCCCGGGACCCTGAACTTCCTGCTCACGGGCAGGCGGTGGCGATGTCACAGGGTAGCACAGGTGTGACACCAAGAGCCGTTCTGCTCCAGAGGCAGGTGTTCGTGAAGAGGGGGTGGGGTGAAGGGGTCCAGCTGCCATGGCTCTTTAACAGCTTTTCAAGCTCCACCCCCCCACCCCCCGCTCCATATCGCCAATGCCAAGGGCACAGATGAGCTGCTTTGAAGCCCCCCAGACTTTCCTGACCCTCTGTAGCCTGGCTAAGTGCAGCAGTGATTTCACTCCCTCGTGTCCCAGTCTGGTCAGCTCTGTCATTCTGGATGATCTAGTCCCATGGGTCTCAAAATGTAGCCCCAGGACCTTGTTAGACATACAAAGTCTCAGTTCCCACCCCAGACCTGCTGAATGAGTGTCCCTGGGGTGGGGGTGACCCTGCCGCCCGGGGTCCAGCGGGCCCTCCGGTGACCCTGACATACACTCAGCTGTGAGAACCCTTGGTCTACGAGGCAGTGATTCCCAGCTTTGCTATGGAACAGAATCATTGCAAGAGAGAGCGTTCAACACTCACCAACATGCAGACGCTCTTCCAGAAAACTCCGAATTAATTACCTTGGGATAGGGCCCAGGCATCAGTATTTTTTTAACAGTTTCTTAGGTGTTTTTAGTGTGCAGCCAACTGGCAAAGGTTACTTGTGTGAAGTCCTTGCCTATTTCTTCACTGGGTCTTACATCCTGAATAGCCCCTTCTGGAATGTTCTCATGACTGTAGCCCTCGCTGTTTTATCTGTTTTGGGTGTGAGAGTCTTCCTACGTGTGCCCCTTGTCTCCCCTACTCCTGGGCGTCAGCTGTCTTTGACAGCTTCTCCTCTCCGCAATTCCCATCCATCTTACCCCTCCCCTGCCCTCCCCCCGACCGACCCAGGCTCTCGGAGAAGGCCAGGCACTTACGACTTGTAGCAGTGAGCCGCGGACACCACCCACTGGTCATTGATGAGGGAGCCACCGCAGAAGTGGTAGCCGGCGTTCAGGGACACCTGGTAGGGGACGGAGTTCCTCTCGCAGGTGTAGCCCCCGACGATCTTGTCATCGTCATCCGCGGGGAAAGCAACTTGAGTGGAGACAGGAGGGAGAAGCTGACTCAGCAGCATGTGAGAGGTGGAGCCAGCTCTGTGGCTGGATCGTGCTAATTGGCACTCTGGAAGCCCAGGGCGACTGGCTGTCGGGGTGCACTGCTACCCCTGTGAGTTCAATGGAGGCGGTTCCCCCCTCAATCTCTCTGTGTGTCTGCAGGGCGTGTAGCTGGGTACCCCGCAGGGCGCTGGCCCAGACTGGGGGCATCAGGAGGCCAAGAACCAAGAAAGGCCCTCATAGCGCCCTCTATGTGATACGGCTCCGAATGCAGTTTTTGTGCCCACTGAACACTTCCCTCTCGTTTATTCATCACTGATCCACTGCCCACGGCTGTTTGAGCCCCCGATTGCCAGGATGGCTTGGCCCAGCAGGAAAATCTCCTGGCTCAGTAGCTCTGACTGCATCCAGCTCTGAGCTTCTCCCAAAGCTCAACTCTGTACGGGGAGGCTGGGGAGGGCGGCCCCCAGGCCCATTTGATGGGACAAAAGTGGGCACTGTTGTTGGCCAATAGAACCCTGATTCTCAACCTTGGCCGTACACCTGGGAATCTTGAAATGACATGGAAGAGTTAAAGATTCAACATACAGGCCATACTCTGGGCCAAAGAAGCCAGAGCTTCTAGGGCTAGGGCTCTGGCCTGAGTGTTTCCTCCAGCTGCCCTAGGCATATCTGGGGTCAAGGGCAGCCAGGGTAGCACTAGCCCAGCTCTGTCAGAGCTAAGCCTGGTCTACCAGAGCAGAGCACTGGTATAGCCCATGGCCCGCCTTCACCTGGTCTCCCTGTCCAGCCACTCCAATAAAAGCCCTGAGATGGAGGAATGATGCTGGGCTGGGAGTGGAGTCGGGCAGAAGGTGAGGGAGGCGAGGCTTACAGAGAGCCCCGGCACAGGACAGAGGGGTGCTAGGCAGGGGAGGCAGAACGTCCACGACAGTGGGGCAGGCATTGCCATCAGGAGACAGGGCTAGAGGACCCCGAGCGGATGCATGGGACTCACCAGCAGCTCCCAAAAAGGCAAGGATCAGGAGTGGATTCATGGTGGCCAAGCTGAGATTGGGCGAGTGGTGTACAGTGGCGAGCCTTTATGCCTCCCCAGGAGGGGCGGGGCGGACAGGGCGGGGGTGGAGGGCCGCTGCTGCTCCCCTACGAGCACACCTGCAGCTTTCCTTTTCCCAGGGCTTTGCGTCACTTCTGCTATGTTTGGCCACTCCGTGGGCTTGTGACTTACAGGTGATTAGAAAACTTGCCTTCTGAGGGCAGAGAGGAAGAGCAGCTGACTCCCAGAAGTGTCCCAGGACGGGGACAACAGGGGAAGCTAAGCCCTGACGTATCTCAGCGGAGCCTTCTCAAGCTGAGCGGATGAGGGTTGGGAAGAGATCCTGGCCCTGAGGAATCCCCTCACCTCTGGAGACTGACTTAACTCACTCTGACAAAGGGCTCATATTGGGAGCGGGCGGGATGGCTCGGTATCCTGGAGCCCCCTGTGAGGAAAGAAGTCTTTTCTGAGTCTCTGTCTGTGACCCTTCTCTCAACGCTGACCCAGCGGGCAGGGAGGTCAAACCTAGGGCTTTGGGGAACCAGGATCCTAACATGAAGAGGTGATGAGAAGGAAGAGGCAAGAGTCTCTTGGGAGCCTGGGCGTTCAGCTGCTCTCCTGCCTGCCAAGGGTGCGGAGGGGGGTATTTGGAAAGCAGATGGGGCAAGGGTTGAATGGGAGTCTGCCCGATACATTTGGGGGGCAGAAGAACAACACCACAGTCCTCCTCTTCCCCACCACTGAGGCCTTGGTCTTTCCCGTCACTTACACTATGATGGGGTCTCTTTTGAAGAGCCCCCTCGATGCCATGGGAATCGGCACTAATGGTGATGAAAATTGCCCCACCTGCTAAGAGCTGACAGCCTGAGCTAGAATTATGTGCTACAAAACCAGATATTAGAAAGGGTTTGGAAGATGGTAAATTTGGGCTCTGGCCAGAGGCTCAACAGTGGGTAGAGGGATTAGCACATGGTAAAGGGGTCAAGTCCTGGGTGATCAAAAACAAAGATGCAGTGTGTGTGGAGGGGTGGGGACAAGTTTCTGCAATTTTCTATTTTAGATATAATGGGACTATTGTGCTGGGTTCCACAGAGAATCAATCTTTCCCCAGACTGATCTCAATTTGGGACCTGCCATGGCCACCGAGACGCAGCCCTGTGATTTTTCGAGGTACGACCTGGCCAGCGGTATGGAGACGGAACTAGTCTGCGCTCCAGTCTACGGGAGTCAGGTGGGTGGAGGAGCCTTCTGATGAAGAGACTTCTCGGCTCCTCCGAGCTCAGGGGCCAGAGCAGGCAGAGTTCATGGACTTCTCTGAAAGGGAGACATGAGTAAATGTTCTGGAGCTGGAGGATCAAGTGAGGAAAGCTCAGACGCCCGGTGGAGAGACAGAAAGTAGGCTGGAGGGATGGCGCAACCGCAGACCAGAGTGGATTGGGGGAGATGCCGACATGGGCCTTATGGGGCTGAGAGGGACTCAGGCGGCGTCTTCTGGCCCAGTGCCTGGCATGGCTTCCCCGCACCAGGAGACCCGCCGCTCAGAGCTGTCCCCTGTCTTCACTGTGGACCCTCTAACCGCAGATGGGCTTGCAGCAGGTGGGAGTCCTGCTAAGTTTGCACAGTGCCTGGCAGTTTTGAAAGAGCTTTCGCACATTCCATGCTGATTTTCATTTGTGTTGAGTTTCCAGTTTAATGTCTCTCAAATGTTTTAATTGTGAGGCATGGAGAAGAAAGTTATGCCCATTGATAGAAGATGGGACCAAGATTCAGAAAGGTTCTGTCTTGCCCAAGAATACAGATCCAAAAATAGCCTCAAGGCCACAGGAAGCCAGAAAGCATGGTGAGGCCTGGGAATCCTGGCAGGTGTCCTCTAAAGGTTTATTTGCCATGAAGTCAGAGGACAAACTACCTCCTGTGTCCCTCCTGATGCTTGTCTCCTTGGCAGAAATAGAGGATTGAGAAAATCTTCCACCTGGCACCTGGTCTCAGAGCCTTGTCATGCCATGGCCTGGAGCCTTCTAGGGCACATCGAGGCTTAGATGACACACCTCTCTAGCCTCACAGGTAGCTGACCCAGGTTATGTAGCCTCACTATAATTGTCCTGTAATGCCACCAAATATGCTACTTTGTTTTATTCCCTTATGGGGGGGTCTTCATAGGAAGTCCCTCCTTAGAGGATAAAGAGAGACTCTTATTGTCCATACCAGCATGCCCTGGGCAGATATCGGGAGGTAATTCTTGGTAGAATATAGAAAATTATTTTGAGATCAGCGAGAAAATTTTGGCATTGGTGCTTGTGGCTCTGATGTTATCTAAAAGGGAGCACATGAGAGTTTAACCAGCCTTCTCCCAATATTTTGTGCTCCATCTTAGAATAAGCTATCACAGCACACAGACCATGAGGTTAATTTTCTTCAAAGTAGCAGGAACCACCTTACGGGCAGAGACGATCGCTGGAGGTGGGGACCCTTACATCATAGCCCAGGCTCGGATGTGGAGCATGGATCCAGGTGTGCAGGATGGATTCAGGTCCGCCTTTGCCCCAATTCAGTTTGGATAAGTCTATGCAGCTCTTGGTACTCTTTGATTGGAACTATGGACTCCTTTGTTGATTTCTCTAAGACATTCTCCTAGTTCATAGTGCTTAACATATCAACTCACTGTCTTTTTTTTTTTTTCTTTTATTGATTCTAGAGAGAGAGGGGAAGGGAGGGAGAAAGAGAGAAATATCAACGTGAGAAAGAAGCATCGATTGGCTGCCTCTTGCAAGCGCCATGACAGGGGACCGAACTTGCAATGCAGGCATGTGCCCTTGATACAGAGAGATCTGATCAGATTGCTGGGGAGAAGTAGGAAGGGGCCACATGGGGAGGTTGCCTGAGGCAATGGTAAGCAGCCTAGGACGGGATTGGCTGAGAAGCTGAGTGCCTCCAGAGCGCGTGGAATTATGGTCGAGAAGATTCAAAGTAAAAGAAAGGCTCGAGGATCTTGGGCAGGCTGGCTTTCGGGCTCTCGGGCTCTTCTTCCTCGAGGATGCCTGGATGATCATGCTGCAGCTGCCTGCGTTTCCCAACAGACGGTAATGTGGATGGATTTTGTATGAATTTTGGATGGGAAGGACCTCAGGGCACAGCGTAGGGTCGGGCTGGCCTGGCAGAAGGGGGCAGGGTTATCCTTCCTCGGGTGGTCTACAGGGGACGGGCTCTGAGGCAGAAGCCTGCCCTTCCTCCAAAATTGTGTAGCTTTTGTGTCTTAGGTTGTCTTAGTTTGTAAACTAACCCTATAGAAATAAGATAATTAAAAACTAACGGGGAATGATAGGAGAACTCAGGTGTTAAAGAGTTTAGCCTTAACTGGTAGGCTTGAGTGATTAAAGCTGTAACTAAAGAGTTAGAGTTTTAGCTTTAAGTGACTAATGTATGTGGAAACTAGTTATTCCAAAATTGTATAGTTTTTGAATAAGAATCCTTTCCCTTATCATCAAAATATGGCCTCTGGGATGTTGCCTAGAGGGTGGCGGCAGGTTGCAGGACCCCCTGGCTGTTTGGTAACACCCTGACTGGGAATCGAACTGGAGACCTTTTGATTGGCAGGTTGACACCCAACCAACTGAGCCATGGCTCAAAGCACTGTCTTTTAATTATGATAATATTGAATAGTTTCTCTGTGCTTCCTATTCCAAACATTGTGTAAGTCTTTCAGGGACCTGTTAAAACTTTTTTTATTATCACAGCCACCCATGGGGGTGCCCATTTTATAGAGGCTAAAATGAACTGTAGAGAGCGAAGTAGCTTGCTCAAGGCCACGCAGCCGGTCAGTGGTGGAGACGGGCTGTAACGTGGTAGCCTGGTGCTAGAGCCTGCTAGACCCCAGGACCTTCGGCCCCCCTTCCCCTCCTTGGTGCTCAGTGCAGCTCCACAAGGTGGGCGGGAGGCGCCATTTTCTTTTTTCTACCAATGAGGAATCTAAAGCTCAGCGGCGAAGTGACATCTCCAGGGTCACCTGGCTAAGGAACAAACAGATGACACCAGACCCTTTCCCTCTTCAGGCCAAGTTCATTTCCCATTGTGTTGTTACCTGTTAGAGTCTTGCAGACTTCCCAGGGGTCTGAAAAGTAGATTTTGGTCACACTCCAAATCATGAATTTCTTTTTTAAACAATATTTTCTTCTTCGAGCCCCTCCCCAGCTCAGGTGTTTCTCTTCAGCTCTTAGAACCCACCATCCCTGTTCACTCTCCAACCAGATTATCACATTCTGGGCTGTCTTTCCTCCAAAACCCTAGCTCCTTTCCTCATCCCTTACTTTCCTAAACAATGTATTCCCCCACAGCACAATTTCTCTTTACCCAATAAGAACTATTTTCCTGAATATCTTAGCCTGGGGTTCCCTGAATCTGGATAGCACAGGGGCACTTGGTGTGACCCAGAAGAATCGAAGAGAAAGGGAGGCGTGGAGGCATGGACTGGTCCTGGCTGATCGGCTACCTGGAGTAACCTCTGCTCCTCGAGTAACCCCAGCCCTGTGCTATTCCCCGCCCTGAAGCCAGCACACGCAGGCACGTTTCATGTCCAGGGGGGAAATTTGCCTATGTTATATATTCTTCAGGCTTCTGTGGAGGGGTGATGGGGATGTCTTTAGCAATTGAAGCTTTTTTTTTTTAATCTAAAGACAGATTGGTTCCTATAATATGATGTCTCACTGTTCACATTTCAGTCACCCTTTGTCCCCTCCCTGGACCTATGAGAGCTGCGTGAGTGACTCCCAAGCCTATTGGAGAGTAAGAAGAAGAAAGCCAGGAGAGAGCCCAGGAGGGACACCCACGCGGGCGCGTGTTTACTGCAGCAGCTGTGACTTCTCCATGATACTCAGAGGTTAATGAATGAGATGTGTATTTATTTGCCTAAATTATATTAGATTCAGACTGAGCCCCACAAGACCAGTTTGGCGATAAGCCAGCTGGGCTCCCTCCATTCAATTGGCTCATCAAGTTCTAGACTGTTT